AAAAATTTTATTAAAGAGGTAAAAAGAGTACCTCAAATATGTTTATAAAACTACTATGAAATAAAACTAAAATTTACCTCAAATATGCTTGATAACCTTTTAACAGTAAAAGAAGTGTATACATGTCTATTGGCATGTAATTGCCAAGAACACTTCAGAAAAGTTACATTCCACTAAGAGTTGTTCGCACTTCAAATGGATTATCTTGCAACTAAGTGGAGAACTAAGTTCATCTTGCCATTTCCCTCTTTGTCACCAAATGGTAAAAGAGGAAAGGAAGTTGAGAGTTCATGAGAGCTGCAGAATGCTAGGGTTTGAAGAATTCCAGAGGGTTCCTAACTCTTCAATACAATTTACCAATCTTGTGAAAAAGGCCTGTAGCAAGACAAAGGAAGTAAAGTGATTTGCATGCTTTATGTACAAGGTAACAGTATCCATATTGCTTCCTTGGATCAGGAAAGAAAAAATGATGTGCCACACTGGAGAAATCCCAATCATAACATCGAACACTTAAACAATTACCATTAAAGATGCCCAAATAATGACGGGCAATATTGGTGACAACTAATCCTGGATGAAGTGAATTTGCAATTATATCTACTCCCTCTTCCTGCTCAAAGAAAAAAACATCATGCGCATCTTACATAGCATTTTCAAACTACCACAGTAAAGACAGAAAAAGAGCATAACTGTGACAGAAATAGCATTATGTATATTTTCCCAAGCACAAAAAGATCTAAATTTGATGTTGTCAATAGTACAGTTGAAGTACAACAAGACCATTTAAAAGGGACATCCCCATTCAATGGGAATTTACCTGTAAGTGTACAAATTATGTAAAGAAAAGCATAGCAAAACCTAAAAGGTCACATGTAATAAAACTAATGTCAGATTAGCATCATTGTGATCTCTATTGACAAAGGAGAACCACAGTCTTAAGTTACATAAAAACATTAGCTGATGAGAACTCCATAAAATAATAAACATCTAAGGAGGTCCACCTCAGAAAGTACAATCTTTGCAGCATAAAATCTTACTGCTGAGTAAATATTGTAATGCTTAACTGATATGGCTAGCAACCCAAAGAAATATATGTTTTGATAACCAGGTGCTTAGAAAACAATGTAACAGGGTCTTCTAATAAAAAAAGAGGTGACCTATTACACAAAATTAAAAAGGATTCAAGGCTGCATTATTTAAGGAAATCAATATCAGACACTTGGTCCTGATTCCAGAGTTTATGTAACATAGCTACAAATGCATGAGCAGGCTTACAACAGGGTAACACAATTATAGTCTAGTAACGTGTGATATCCAAGCCAATCTCCAAACAATCTCTACTGCACTTGCTATGCCAAACTAAAGCATGAAACGTCATAGGAAAAAAAGTTTGAAATAAAAACTAAT